AGTATATTTTTTGAATACATGCGTCGGTATTGGGTCGAGTGAGCATGACTTCGTAGGTGACGAATTAACAACTTTAGATATCTGTTCTTCAGTCAACACTGGAAACGATTCGAGTGAAAACATAATATAAGTATTAGTAGAGATAACTGTAAAATTAAAACATTCAGTTGACTTTTCGGTCACTTTCAACTTGTCAGCAAAAATTTTTTAAAATCATCGGCGCTATGCATTGAACCAACTTTATTTTCAACACTTGTCTCTTTTCCTAATAATTTATTAATCGTTTGCCATAAGTATTTGGAATTATTTTTTAATTGACATGTTTTCGCGAACCAAAAACTCTTTTGTTTCACTGAGTAACAAACATTCTTTTGTTTTATTGCCAATACCCAATCAACTTTATCATTATAACAACCAGTAGTTCTGAATCTTCTTTCTTTTTTTGACACATTTGCTTTACCTTTTTGCAGTCACTGTCAAACCATGGTGCAGTCGGGACATGTTTCCAAAGAACTTCATGAAGTGGAGCGACTTCGTCAGCAATTTTTATAAGCTCTTCATTAAATATTTTAAAACCCAATTCAACATCATCGTCCTGGTCATAATGTTTTCGAGATAGGTGAGCACCTAAAAAGCTCAGTCAAACGTTTTTTATTCACTCGTTTCCAGGATTTCTTGAAAATGACTGGAGTCGGATTAATTAAAAATTGACCAGTTACTAATCCATGATCTGAATAGATACCAGATGGATACACCAATACATCTTCTAACAAAAAACCATCTGATGTAACAATCAAATCCAGGATACCACCAAGCACATGGGCAAACTGATTAATTCTATTGACTAGATCAAAACTAGAGAAAAAATCAGCAAGGGCTGTTGCATATATATCATACGAAGTTTCTACGTGTATGTTGAGATCATCTGCAACTACAATACTGCTACATAAAAGTGTGATTTGTTCTAAAACTAAAATAATTAATTATTCGAAAAATAATTTAGCAGGAGGAGCAAAAACTGGCTTATAAATCACCAGAAAAATTACTGAAGTTTTCAGTAAGGTCAATTTCAAACATATCGCTTCAAATGTAATTATCACTGGCAATGGAATTTTTACACATTTAAAGTGGTTTCTAAAAATATATATATAATCATAAATATATATATATATATATAAATATATATATATATATAATTGATGAAATTGATGCTGTTATATATATGCATACATATATATGTTGGTAATAGACCATAATTTTTACAATATTCGGTAGAATTTATAGAATATTGTAAAAATACACACACACATATATATATATATATATATAATTGATGAAAATCACAGCATGTTCGTTGTATCAATTTGAACACCGAAGATGGTATAGGGACACTGAAAAAAGCTTTTTTGTTCTATCATGCATAAAATTAACAAAAATTTTGGTATTGAACTCACAAAAAGAATGATTGAAGATCAGCCGTTAGTAAAATCTAAAAGTTAAACAGTAAGTTAAATATGCTGTGATTTTCATCAATAATTGCATTCCTATTATATATATATTACAATATTCTATAACTTTTACCGAACGTTTGGCGTTAATATGTTTGGAGTTCGTTTTTTCTCACTAAAGTTTTTTGGAGAACGTTTAGTTTATTAAAATTAAAAAAAAACTTATTTTCCGATAAAGAAAAGGAAACCAACGAAGATGGACAAGCCAATAAAAAAATCTGACACCTAATTTCCATCTTAATTCAATTTCACAAAGTAAATATTTCCCTATATAAATCAACTTGCACTGATGCTGATTCATTTGGAATCGAAATATGGCCTTATTTGCAGCATGAATTCGAAAAATAAATTTCTTTTGAATTTTAATAACGTTCTCCAAAAAACGTTAATGAGAAAAATCGAATAAACGAACTACAAACATATTAACGCCAAACATTTAGTAGAATTTGTAGAATATTGAAAAAATTATGGTCTATTACCAACATATATATATATATATATATATATATATATATATATATATATATACTATATATATATATATATATATATATATATATATATATATATATATATATATATATATATATATATATAT